AAAAAAAAAAAAAAAAAAAAAAAAAAAAACCAGAGAAAGAAAGAAAAGAAAAGTCTTTGGCCTGGAAAAGAATTGGGGTTGTCCTCTTTCCTGAAGCACATCTAAAGGACATGTCTATTCTTGCCTGGGGAAAAATGTCTGGGATATTTCTTCAGTCCAAGAATATACATTCCCTCGGCAAAGAAGGGGGAAACCATATATGAATTAAGCAGAAATTCAGGCATTTCCCCCTGGAATCGCTATTTCCATCATTACAGATGAGAGGGTACATCCTCGAAATACCTACAAATAGCAAAGCTTAGAGGTAAGAAATACTAAGCCAGGAGCCATACCCGAAGCTGTTCCTTTCTGGAGGGTGGACAAATATCAAAACATCTGGCATAAAACAAAACACCAACTGCTGAAAGATTTTATGTCTGAAGTGCCTGCAGGAATGCAGGAGGAAGGCACTGGCTTCTTCAAACGGTGCTGTGAGCAAGTACAATCCGAATTTTAGGGCTTTTTTAGGGCACCCCTCCAGTAGGCATGAATCACTGAAATTTGAATAAATAAATCAGAACACCCTGGAGAATGTTTCTGCCTTTTCAAGAGATTTTAAAGTATTTCATAAATTGTAGCTTTTAAATAAAATTTTATTACCTTGAGGGGAAAAGTTTCAAGGAGAATTTTGAAATTCAATTTGACTGGTGATAATTACATCTTCCTCCTCACCAACCATGGCTTCCATTACAGATCAGGCTGGAAAAGGCTTTGTAACTTGCTCTGAAATTCAGAGCTCTGGGGGGGAAAAAAGGTGCAGAAAACCTGATTAAGAGTTATGAACAACACATTTGTTAGGATGATCCCAAATCTTATTCACACTCCCATAAGAATTCATGAGAGATGCTTGTGCAAAACACTATGTGTCTTTAACCTCCCTTTTCTTTCCAAGTGAATTGGAGCACTTATTGGCAGGGATGCTCTAAGACATAATATATTCATGAGACAATGTGCCTGAAATGTACAGATTCTTTCCTAGATCTTAAATCTATTAAATCCAAGTCACGTAAACTGTGTCCATAAATCTTAGCTCCCACTAAATGAGTGCTTACTATTGTATCAGGCTCTTTGTGTATCTAATAGCTCATATAATCCATGCAGATTCCCTCCATACTGTTATTAGTCCCGGTTTATAAAAGCATAACAGTCTCAGGAAGTGTTTGAATTCTCGAGGTCCCAGAGCCAAAAAGTGGTGGGGCAGGATAATAATACAGGCATTCTGATTCCAGAGTCCATAATTTCAATCAGCAGACTATTACCACTCATGAGTAACTAGTCATGGCAACTGTCCCTCCTCTCAGACAAGGGCCATTATGAAAGTCTGATGAGAATAAAAGGCAGCTATTGACCTCTTCGTCTAAGAACTGGACACACACACACACACACACACACACACACACCCCTTCCATTGAGAAATCTTCCTTTGAAACCCCCAAAGTCTTGTCTCCTCCGGTCAGCTGATGACCACATTACCTGAAGACCAGCAGGAAGTTCTCCCCACACCAAAGCTCTTAGTAGAACGCTTGTCAGTGACAGTCCATCCAGTATGTCCTGTTTTTGTTCTATAAAACTGACTCTTCTTTAACCTCTGATCTCCTGCTGCAGGTGACAGCAGGTGGCATCTCTGGCTTATGAGGAAGTCTTCTCTTTAATTAGGCCCCAGATTTATTTTATCTTTGACAATCAAACCAGTTTAACCCTTTAGGTTTAGTTACATGAAAATAACAAAATTCAAAGTACTCACAGTATCTAGGCTCTCAACCCACTGAAGTCATGATAAACTTTAATAAAATGTTAAAACCATTTATATTTACTCTGATCAAATATTAGTATTTAAAGACATATGAGTACTGGATTCCTTGATGGACTGCATCATTAGAAAACAAATTATCATAAACTGGTTCCCAACAGAGGTACCTATACAGAGAAAAGGAACCATCTCTTATTCACCTTCCTGGGCTGGGTTCTCATGGGTCAATGAGAAAACGTCTGTGTGGTGCCATGGAATTAACGCAACAACTCATTTGCCCCAGATCTCCCACAAGGATCCCAAGCTTTAGACTACACCACACTCTGAGCACTGTTCTGTGTCCCCACACAACCCTGATCCACAGGGGACATAGAATGAAACCTTTACTCTTTATACTCTTCTTTTGTAGCTGTAAGAAAAACAAGAACTTATCTGCCAAAAGATAAACACTGCCACCTGCTGAGATAAGAGAGCAAACAGAAAGTGTGCTAGCCATATGGTCCACTGGTTGTCAGAGGCAGCAATGTTCTCTTCATCATTCAGTAAAATCCACAGACAACTGACTGTTCTGCCAATTACTTGATTAATACCCCAAGAAAGGATTCGCAAAGGCAATTTTGTTCAAAGCAATGCACCACACCCACCACTTCCCCAAAGGCAAACCAAATCGCATCTTCGCCCTCATTGTACTCACAGCTTGAAGTTAACTTTTCTAGAATTCCCATCTCTTGCAGGTCCACAAATTAGCCACAAACTCATTTTAAAACTTCTGACACTCCAAACATAGGAAGAAATTCAGCACTAGAGGGAAACAGGTGGTTTTGACTGATGTATAATTTAGGGACCCCACTCTACAACTTTATCATGTTCCCTCAAAATTATAAGTTGATATCCTGTAAAGTTCTTACAAGAACTCAGGCGCTCCTCAGGGAAATAAAGGAGATGGTAGGGGAGAGGGTAAAGACTCAAGGTTACACAAACTTCTAAATATTTCTTATCATCGCTAAATTTGTTACACTTCCTACTTATTAAGTGAAATGATTTATGCAAAAATCTTACAGACGATGCAATTTGTAAAGTTTGGAGTTTTCTCTATTTAAGAAAGAAATAATATGAAAGGGCAAGAGGGAGCTAAGATAATTGACTGGAAAATAGTTTCAATTTCTCCTGACAGATAATGAGATTATATGTTACTACTTGTACTAAAGAAAATGAGTAATAGAGATATACTGAACATAGTTCCTATAGTTAGCAATACAATATTCTATACTTTCAATACATTCAGAGGCTAGATCTTATATGTTAAGTATTCTGATCACCAAAAAAAAAAAGAAATAACACTGTTGGAAGTAAGAGATACGTTTAGTACTCTGCTCATGATAGTGGTATCACAGGCATTTACATGTGCCCACATTCACCAAAGTATATACAATAGTAGGTGTGATTTTTTATCAACTGTATATCAATAAAGCTTCTTTAAAAAGATTGATTCTGTAAGATTCCCATGTGGTTTCTTGTTCTAAATTTAGATGTCATTAATTTTAGTTTGTGCTTTTAACTTTTAAAACTAATTTTTAATATGTATTTGAGCAGTTTTACAACCTTTTAAAAATGCTTTTTAGTGTGAAGGGAGGGCAGGGACAAGGGGAAAAAATGAGAACCAAGACCTGTCATGTAAAGGTACAAGATCCTAACTATGAATGTAACTATACTGTATACCTAAAATGTACCAATAAAATCAATTAAAAAATAATTTAAAAACAGAAAAAATGCTTTTTAATATTCAGCCATATTCCAATTCAGTAGTTGGTATGTCTGTTCTGTTTAACTTTGGTTTAGATCTCCTTACACTTTTTTAGCTCTCCATCAATCTAGAATATATTAAAAAGTACCATTTTACTTTCTTTATATCACCCCCAAACATATAGAAAACACCTAATTCATAAGGAATTTTCTCAGAAGAAAGCTTTATTCAACAGAAATTATCATAATAGCCTTGAAAGGAGAATCTAGGAGACATATTGGTAAGTCTCTCTGTTTTTACTTATCAGCATTATGATGCTATTAAAATAAAACACAACAGGAATAACTAGTGGCATTCACTAAATATTATGAAATCATCCTCATGAAATAATATCAAGATCATCAGTTTTATTGGTCAAATATGTGAAGTCAGGAACACAGTGCTTGTATAAAAAGGCTTATGAAATGTGAACATAGCTTGCTTGTCGTGTGGGAAGCTCAAGGTCTTGGTCACAATTGCTGGCGAGTTTGTTCACCGGCCGACTTCTGCTCAGCACCATATCCTACAGGTATTATCCTTGCTACCTGATTTAAAAAAAAAATTCACAATTTTTTGTTTGTGTTTTAATTTTGTCTACTTTGCACTCACTTTTCACAAGTCAACTTTTTCAGGGTCAAAAAAGAGGGCCATGAGAATTTGGAAATCCTGTACAAACTCTACAGCCCACATTTCAAACACACCTCACATATTAGAAAACATGAAGACCATGCTGGCTGCTTTTCTGCCAATTCGTGAAACCAACTTCAGGTGGCCCCTAAAAAAAATGCATGTAGTTCATTACACCAGGGGATACCAGAAAATAGGGCAGATAAATTCAGATAAAGTGACTGCTTTGCAGGCCACAGGACAGAAGTGTCACCCCCGTTTGAAGAAGCTCTACTGCCCAGTATAATTTAGCACGTAATACTCTGGAACACACTAAAAAATCAATAGTACCTTAAAAGAATTTAAGGATTTAGTGCCAGCATTTAAACAAGACACAAGCAACTACTATTCTTTCCTAAACTCTCCAAGGTCTGCTGTGTTACTGGCTGAGGTTAGAGCCAGCCTCACAGGAAACACAGAGATGATGGAAACCGACCTGCCTTCCTCTTCCTGCTGCCTCCCACAACACTGCCATCATGGGAAAGGAGGTGGTATTGTGTTGACAATAAAATATGCCTATGAGTGACTAGTGTTTCTAAAATACTTAAATTTTAGTTAACACCAGAAAATCATAAGCCCAAACACATAGCCTACAATTCTAGAGCTTGCCTATAATTAAGTAGGGCCCTAAGGGGGCTAATTCTCATCATCCTTGAAGTTGTATAACTAGGAAGACATTTAATCAGCTAAAGTATGACACCACACTTGATTCTGGGACATCAAACTTCTTAGATGATTTTGACAACTTTTAAATTGACTCAACACAATAAAAATCAGTGAGAAGTTAGCAGATTTGGCTTTCTGAGCCTGCCTAGGGCATCTCTACCCAACACTATCTATAGCCCTGCTCCTTGCCAAGCCCTCTGCCAGAGACACCAAACTAATGTGATGACATGACTTTCTTTTAGTGTCTCCTTTACACAACACAAATTAATCTGCTCTAAATCCACTCCTATAAAATGTTGTTGCTATGAATAATTCACAAGAAGTTCCTAATGGTAGGAAAAAATGCTCAATATGCTCTCTTTTGCCCAAATATTAGCACATTAGCAAGAAATATCTACAGAGAAAGCAACTTAGCTCAGAGTAAACCTCCAATGGGCTATGAAACCAACTGTGGAGAACACTGGTCCTGACTTGTTTTGGTTACTCCTGGTCATGGACATCAATTGAATATTAACCTTTTGATCCATGGAAGACTGGAGAAATATACTAACCCACAAGGCAGGCTCTCAAATTGCTGCCTTATCTAGAGCGACTCACATTCAAAATTCATGAGGTCTTACAGAGAGGGGCAGCACTCATCCCTGTGGGTCCTGATACAATTAATCTTAAATAATGGGGACAGAATGACATGCCAAAATGAGACAGGGACCCTGGAAAAGGGGTAGTGGTGGGAGTGACTTCCTTTTAGCATGCAGCTTAGGAACAGTCAATTTAAAAGGAAAGCCAAGCCTATGGTGAATACCTCCCTCCCTACCTGTAATGACTATGTTGCCTTTATAGTTGAAAGCACATGAAAAGATCTCATCCCTGTGCCCCTCTAGAACCTGGAGACACTGGCCAGAGTTAGCATCCCAGATTCGAGCTGTTTTGTCAGAGCTGCCAGTCAGAAGGCGGTTCCCTTGGGGATTGAAAGAAATCTAAAAAGAAAGAAAGAAAAATGATCGCATGTTTATGTAATAGTTCCTGATAAATTTTCATCAACAGAAATAGGACATAACTAATCACCTGTCATCTCTCCAGCAAAGTACTTGTTTACTTTTACACAGAACAATTTCTTCATAATGAGAAAAATGTTATATGGACATGAAAATTAAAATCTAGATGGAAAAGTTTAATCAACTACCCCTTCCCATTTCTAAGGATAAAGACAAAAGCATTGTTATAATTTGAGTATTTCCCACCCAGCTTCTTTCCAAAGACTCAGGATGACTTCCTCCTTTGTTCAGACAAAGAGAACCTGGCTGTGGATGAAGGTCCAAGGCAGAGAGTGTCATACGCAAAGCCCCAGGCCATCTCCGCAACGTGACTTTCGGCAATTAAAAGCGTAGATTCCCATTATCACTGTGCCATTGAATGAAGGGACTTTCTATTACTACTGCCTGAATGCCTCCAAAGTGCCAGGCACTGTTAACTTGTATCTGAACTGCAGCCTGACACCAAGTGGTCCACCATTCCTTCAGGAGTTACGGCTTTAGATGTAGTACATCCCCCAGATGTCTCATGTGTTCAGAAGTGGGACTTTTTGAAGGTGACTGGGTCACGGGGATGCTGTACTCATTAGTGGGATCATCCACTGGATGAATTCTACAGCTGAAGGTGCTTTTAGAAGGTGGGACTGAGTGGGAAGAGGTGCATCCCTGGGGGTGTGGCCTGGAAGGGTCTGTTTCTGCTCCTGCCTCCTCCTGTCTCTCACTCTGCCTCACAGCCTCCATGACTTATCCCTCTGCTAATGCCATTTCTGCCATGGAGCCAGGAACCATGGACTGTAACCGAGCCAAAATAAACTTCTCCTCCTTTATATTGCTGGTGCCTGGTACCTCGTCCCAGTGACAAGAAAACTGACTGGGACTGAAGTCACACCTCGCTCCCTCTTGATCATCAGGAGACAATGACTTTGGCCCTGTCCTCTGCCCAAAGATCTGAGCTGTGTCCATAACTCATCACTGTGTCCTCCTACCTGTCCAATGCCCAATGCCAATGGAAGCTCTCAAAAGCATTTTCTGAGTGAGTGAGTGAATGAATGAATGAATGAATAGCTCCGGCCCCCATAGAAATGCCACTGTCACATGGAAATTCTGTAAGTGACATAGTCACTTAACAAGCATAAAATTTAAAACAAAGAATCTCCTTGTATTCACACATTCTGGAGTACAGATGCATACTAGTTAAGAGGAATTGCCAGACATGTTGCTAGCTATCTAGCCGGTTACTTGGGAACATGACCTGGACTCCCTGACATCCATGACCCACCTTCCCAGGCCCTCCTGCCACCTCTGTGCTTCTCCGCTATTGGAAGGTCTTAGGCTTTATCACAGCTCTGCCCAGCCAAAGGGCAAGGCCACCAGCTGCAGGGGCAGAGGTGAGAGAGCTAAGAGTCTCACATGGGGCGGATCCAGGTTCTAAATGGAGCCTCCAGAGGCTGGAAACCATCAAGAAGGAGCAAAGATGAGCTCAGACACGAGACCAAGAATTTCTCTGAGTCGGGAAGTGAAAGACCCCCTAGATCACAGCTACCATGTTCCGGTGGTACAAATATAAACCCCAGAACACTGACTGGGCGGCTCTGCTCTGTGAATAAGCTTTCGGGAAAAGTTTACACAAAATCCTAAGATGCAACTTTTTTATTTCAAAGTGGATAATTATAAACTTTAAGTGCTGAGTATTTCCAGGAAATACTTTCTCAATTGCATCTCATTTACAAAATACTTGATACTCGCTATACAGGATGCTTTTGGCACAATAAACTTGAGTGTTTACTATAACAGAACTTCCTGGCACCTCAGAAGCTCCATACATTGCTGTATTATGTATTATTTTCAGTTAAGTCTTTTGCTCAATGCTGTTTTACACTTTCAAAATATTTTACAAATCACTTATTATGCTACATTTTGGAGAAGGATATATTAAAAGGCTTTCTAGAATAAAATAGTAAAGTTGAGCAGACTTTTGTACAAATAAAACTACTTATGCAGAGTACGCTGTTTATTTTTTCAAAGTCAATGAGGTTTCCCAAGTGAAAGAGCAACTCACCTTTGAAATTTCTCCTTCATGACCTTCCAGTTTGGTGATGAACTTTCTTGTGGCTGTATGGTAAACTCTCGCCGTTCCTTTTTGAGAGGGGTGGGGATATATATCAGTTCATCTGCAATGCAGTACTTTGGCCCAAAGACTGAGGCCCCAATGCCTGTCCTGTGACACAAGAGCTCTGTTCTGAATTCTTCTTCCCTGGAGTGAGAGCAAGGGCTTAGCCCTCTAAATGCAAGCTGATCCCACTGCACAAGAGTGTGGAAGGCAGCTCCTCACTGTCCCTGACCTTATTGCAAAGAGGAAATAGATTCCAAGGTAAGAGGAGGTGTGGAACAAGAACCAGAAAGAAAAAGGATTTTAGAGGGAAAAAAGAGACCAGACAAAGTTCCAAGAGGTAGCTGATGAGCTGAGCAGTGAGACCCACATGCGATGCAAAGAGGAGTTTCTGCCCAGGGAGGCCCACACCATGGAGAAACAATAAAAAATGTAGGATGGATGGAAAAACGGGTGAACGGATGGGTGGATGGATTGGTGGATGGATGGGATGATTGGCTGACAAATTTGATAGCTGAATGAAAAAATAATATGTAGATTTCCTTCGAATTAAGAATGAAGGAGATAAATACGCATAGGAAGAAAAATCAATAGTGAAACTGTTGTCCTGACAAAAGTTACAATGGATTTGACCAGATACTTTCTTATCACAAGTTGTGGCAGGACATTAAAAGTAAAATTTCTCAACAAATGATTTTCCTTACCTTTCTGAAAGTGTCGACTGCAGAAGGAAGTAGAGAAAAGAATGAGTAAAAACAAAACCCTGCCATTTCAGAATATGTGTGATTAAAAACAAAAAGCTTTCCACTTAATTGGATGTTTCAAAATCCTTAAAGGAATGGGGCCAAAAATGTTTGAAGAATATGCTAGCAAATGCTTCATAGAACTTTACTTTAAATTTTATAAAAGCAGGGCCGGGGGGTTAGCTCAGGGGTTCTGCCGCCTGCCTCACAAGCACAAGGACCCGAGTTCGATCCCCAATACCAAAAATAAAATAAAAATAAGAAAATAAATTTAATAAAAGCATATTTTTAAACTTCAAAAAACATAAATCATATGAAGATAAATGTGAAATAGGAGCACCAAAAAAAATTAGACTTGAGGTTAATTCCAATATACAGAAACAAAGCAAGGATATAACTTTAAGAAGGGAATTAAGAGAAAAAATAAGTAAAAATATTGGCCAAAGATTGATTCAAACATCTGGATTTCTTAGGAAGTACAGAATGAAAAGAGATATAAAACACTTCAAATTTTAGAGAGAGAAAATTCTTTAGTAATGTTTTATCGAACAAGAAAAGATTAGAATCACTACTTGATGGCACACACCCATAATCCTAGCATTCCGGAAGGCTGAAGCAGGAGGATCAAAAGTTTGGTCCCAGCCTTGGCAATTTAACAACTTAGCAAAACCCTTTTTCAAAATAAAAAATAGAAAGGTCTGGGATGTAGCTCAGTGCAAAGGCCTAGTTCAGTCCCCTCTGCTGAAAAGCCAACAAACAAAAATAGAAAATTAAAAAAAAAAAAAAGACATGACCTAGAAGAACTGAACTTGTATATATGGTCCTCCTCCATCTCCTAGAATCCTAATCTCCAACAGGGATCCTCCCCACATGCTGATGACCAACTTTCACTGTTCTACAGACTCCAACGTCCTGCATGAAATGTGCATGTGGAACTGCTCAGTTCTGTCACCCTTTCCACACCATAACTCCACAGGGACATTGATTCATCTTCTTTGTTCACTCACATCCACCACGTTCCTCAAACAAGCCCTGCCACAAAGCACCTACTTCAGGGCATATTGTGAAATAACTCCTCTCTGTCAATGTGAATGGTATTTAAAATGAAACGTGTTGCCGGGGATTTAGCTCAGCAGTTCAGTGGCCTGCCTTGTAAGCGCAAGGACCTGAGTTCGATCCCTGGTACCAAAAAAATAAAAATAAATAAATAAATAAAATGAAATGTGTGGATTAATTATAGATAAAGGCTGGTTTTTAAAAGCTAAAATCTGTGGTTTTTCTATAAAATGGAATACTACTCAGGCATAAAGAATGAGAAATTACAGTCATTCATAGGAAAATGGATACATTTTGAGGATATACTCCTAAGTGAAATAAATAAGTCACACATGTGTAAATACTGAATAGTTTCTCTGGTGTGAAAAACTATAATAGTACACAAGATCCTAATGGGATAATTAACAATGTGAAATAAGAAGAAAAGGGCCAAAGGTGTAGGGAAAGTGGGAAGAGTAGGGAAAAGGGAATAAGGGAAAAGAAAAAAGTATGAGAAAATGAAAAATTGGAAATAAAGTGCTTGTAAATCGGGAGGGAAGAAGGGGATAAAGGGAGGGCAGGGACAAGGGTAAAAAATGAGAACCAAGACCTGTCACGTAAAGGTACAAGATCCCATAATGAATGTAACTGTACTGTATACCTAGAATGTACCAATAAACTCAACAAAAAGGAAAAAAAAGCCAAAATCTCTGAAAAGGTGAAAAAAATGGCTACTTTAAAAGAATAAAATTCCCCAGACTCAGAGAGTCAACATTTACACTATAAATAGGACTTGTATCTAAAGACAGCCATTGAAAAATCGCAGTAAGAGAGCAAGTAGGCAGATATAATTTTGAAAAGGGGAAACAATGGTGAAATAAAGATTGAATAACTAAAATCACTGGTAAAATTTTAAAACTCAGTGTAACACAAACGATATATGACTTCTTAAAAGCATGTTCATCACAAGGGGCAAATCAAAAAAATCTAAACAATAAGACATCCAAGGAAAAATCATTTCACTTGTCCAAGGTAGGGAGCATTACAATCCCCAACTGTGATAAAAAGAGCATGGTAGCTCCTGGGTAGGAAGAATCAACATAGTGAAAATGGCCATACTACCAAAACTGTTATATACATTCAATGCAGTGCCAATTGAAATTCCAACACTATATTTCACAGAACTAGAAAAAAGAATCCAAAAATTCATTTGGAACCACAAGAGACCTAGAATAGCAAAAGCCATTATAGGCAACAGTCACATGGCACCAGGTGTAACAATTCCCAATTTGAAACTATACTACAAAGCCACTGTGATAAAAACAGCATGGTACTGGCAAAGAAATAGGCCTGAGGATCAATGGAACAGACTGGAAGACACAAAAACAAATGCAGATGTACTCAGCTACCTCATCTTTGACAAAGGAGCTCACCATCCTCAGTGGAGGAAAGATAGCCTCTTTAATAAATGGTGTTGGAAAAACTGGATATCAACCTGTCACAGATTAAAATTAGACCCTTATCTTTCGCCATGCACTAAATTAAAATCCAAATGGATTAAAGATCTAAATATTAAAACAGAAACATTAAACTTGCTGGAAAGTAAGTTAGGCAGAACTCTGGAAGACATTGGTATAGGAAAAGACTTTATGAACAAATCCTCAGTAGCACGGGAACTAGCAGAAAGAATCAACAACTGGGATCTCATCTTACTAAAAAGCTTCTGTACTTCAAAAGAAACCATTAGCAGAACTAAGAGACAATCTACAATGTGGGAAAAAATTTTTACCAGCTGTACCTCAGACAAAGGACTATTATCAAGGATATATAAAGAACTCAAAACAATCAGTCCCCCCAAATATAAAGACCCGATCCAAAAATGGGCATCCGAAATGAACAGACATTTCTCATACAAAGAAGTGAAAGCAGCAAGAAAATATATGAAAAAATGTTCCACATCACTGGTCATTCGAGAGATGCAGATGAAAACAACACTGAGATTCCACCTCACCCCACAAAGAATGGCTGCTATCAAGAAATCACACAATAACAAATGTTGGCGGGGTTGTGGGGAGAAAGGAACCCTCCTCCATTGTTGGTGGGAGTGCAGACTAGTGCAACCACTATGGAAATCAATATGGAGATACCTCAAAGAGCTTGGACTGGAGGTTCCATTTGACCCAGCCATCCCTCTGTTGGGTATCTTTCCAAGAGAACTGAAAGAATCATATCACAGAGAAGTATGTGCACCCATGTTTATAGCGGCACAGTTTGTAATAGCTAAATCTTGGAAACAACCTATTTGCCCATCCGTTGGAAACTGGATAAAGAAGTTGTGGTTTTTCTATAAAATGGAATATTACTCAGCCATAAAGAGCGAGAGAATAGATTCATTCATAGGAAAATGGATACATATTGAAGATATACTCCTAAGTGAAATAAATAAGTCCCACATGTGTAAATACCAAATAGTTTCCCTGGTGTGAATATTCTGCAACAATGCATAAGATTCTAATAAGATTACTGACATTTAGAAATGGGAGGAAAGGAGCTAAAGGTGTAGGGAAGGTGTGATACGTAGGGGAAGAACAAAAAGGGAAAAGAAAAAAATGTGAGAGAATGAAAAGATGAAAATAAAGTGTTTGTAGATGGGGAGGGGAGGAGGGGGTGAAGGGAGGGCAGAGGTAAGGGGAAAAAATGAGAATCAAGACTTGCCATGTAAAGGTACATGATCCCAACAATGAATGTAACTGTACTGTATCCCTAAATGTACCAATAAACTCAATAAAAAAAAAAAGAGCATGGTACTGGCAAAGAAACAGACCCCAAGGGTCAGTGGAACAGATTAGAAGATGCAGAAACAACTCCAGACACACTCAGCCACCTCATCTTTGACGAAGGAGCCAAACACTCTCACTGGAGGAAAGATAGCCTCTTTAATAAATGGTGCTGGAAAAACTGGGTTTCAACCTATGCCTCTCACCTTGTACTAAACTAAAATCAAACTGGGTTAAAAATCTAAATATTAAAGCAGAAACACTAAAGCAGCTGGAAGAGAGGTTAGGTAGAACTTGTGAAGACATTGGCATAGGAAAAGATTTCATGAACAAAACCTCAGTCACAGGCAAAATAGCACAAAATCAACAAGTGGGATCTCTTCTTATTAAAAAGCTTCTGCACAGCAAGAGAAACCACCAACAGTGTGAAGAGATAGCCCACAACGTGGGAAAAAAATTTCACCATCTGGT